CCCCACACACACACACACACACACACAAAATGTAAACACCTTCATGTCGTTCCAAGCCTATGTGACTTTATTTCTTCTGTGGAACACAAAAGATATTTTGACAAATGTCTCAGTGTATTTTTTTTTCAGCACAACACAAGTATATGTTTTGTTCATTGTATGGACAAAAACAGTTGAAACATTCTTCAAAATATCTTCTTTAGTGTTTCACAGAAAGCCATACAGTTTTGGAATGACAAGAGGGTGAGTAAATGACGACAATTTAATTTTTGGATGAACAATTCCTTTAAATGACTTTCGAAATTAAATCTCTGAAGAAAATTACTCTAAATATAATATAAAATATCAACACACCAAAACAAAAACAAAATACAAATATTTCATATATTTCTGTGTAGCAGGAAATAATAATAGTTACCAGTTTGTAAATGGGCCCGGCTGGATTTTCTGTTGTATTTAAAACTGACTTTAAAATGTAGTTTACAATACAAGGCTGCTTGTCTGACAAAATGTACATGCAAAAAGATTGAGAATCTATTTATGTAGACTGATACATCAATAGATAGATAGATAGATATAATTGATAGAAAGATAGATAGATAGATAGATAGATAGATAGATAGATATGATTAAAGTTGAGGCTTCAGCCGTCTCCGACTCATGCATAAGCAGGTGTGGGTTTTTGCAAAAGCAAGATATGAAACCACAGAGCTCCAAATAGAACCGCAGAGGGAGGTCAGGTTGATGAGAACATCGTATTTTTCCCTTTCAACGCCACGTTTACCGGGTACTCAAATACCAATTATTTCTCATCTGTATATAAATACAATATATATAAATATTAATATGTACATGTATTCACATAAATACTAAAATGTATCACTTCTACTACTAATAATAATAGTTGTTGTGATTATGTTATATACACATTGTAAAAAGTGATAACATGTACATTAATGTTCTATTATCTCACCCTTAAAAATTACTTTCAGTAATATGGAATAATACTGAATATTATTCTTATAAATTAATATAAATAATTGTACATAAAATAAAACTTTTGAATATCATTATTTATTTATTTATTGCCTTCTTCAGAAACTGCTGTATGAAGCTCATTTTAAATTACATGACAAAACATTTTACTGCAAGGATGACTTTTAAAAGTGTGCAAAAGTGCTATGTGTGTGTGTGAGTGTATATAATAATATATAATATAATATAATATAATATAATATAATATATGGTGATGACTAAAATTAGAATTCTCACCTATGTGGTTTTATAAATAATGATCACTGTAATGAAACTGCTTTCCTTCCTGGTCCTACAGCTTAAAGTTCACATTTTGTCTCTTTGGACGCACGATTAGCTTTGATCTTTGGAGAGCTGGTGTACATTGTGCTGCCAGAAATTTTAGACTTTTTTGTCAAAACTTCTCCAATATTACTTGTTTAAAGACCTCGTTAAAAAATAAACCCTGAACCTTTTGATCTTACTCACAAATGAGCAGCCTGTAACATCAAAACCAGATGTCAGGATATCTTACAGCAATAAAATAAGCGGCTTCATGGCTTCAGTCATGGAACCACGTAAGAGGCAGTTCAGGAGACGAGCCACTAAGAAGCGCTGTTACATGTGAAATCATTTGCCGTCCCAAAACCTCTTGTTATGAGAGCAGTTGATATATTTCTTCACAAAAACAGATATAGTACATTCCAACAGGTCTTTTAACACTCCCATTTAAAGTCACGAATATGGTGTAGCCTACAACTGCTTTGTTAGACTAAATAATTTATTCACAAATTAAATAAAAACTGATCGTGATTTTTCTGACAGTCCTCGGTATCAAACATAAGCACAGCCACTGAATCAGTCACTTTTAATGAAATAGCTCTGTCTAAAAAAAAACAACATATCCTGTCATGCTCACAGGCAATTTTTCTCTTCACACAGGATACAAGAAGCTGATAAAAGGCCTAGGCAAACAGGAATGTGTACCTTTCTAAAAAGTACTGTCTGTATTTTTGACTTTCCTCAACCCCTTCCTTATCTACTTGCATAATATCTGCTGTCAGAAACCCTGTGCTGTTTTAGGAATGTCATTTTTCATTAATTGGATGCAGTACATCATTGTTATCAATTGCGCAAGAACCTGCACAGCTATGAGAAACAGACCTTTCAGTCTCATTCTTATCAAAACCCTGTGAACCTAAACTTATCAACTATTGTAAGAAGTCAACTCAATATAGATGGCATTCCAGAAAAGACAACGATATCTTGAAACTTTAAATAAATAATGTACATTGCTGCTTAAGAGTAGCTGATGATAGAAATGTAAATCAGTATGATCCCTCTGACAAATAACTGGATGGATATAAAAGAAAGGAAGCCTCTACAGTAACCCATAATACTGCAAGCAGTGTTATTTTAGTATTATTTACAAAAATATTATAGTTTTCATCAATTTTTTATATTTTATTATATTATATAATAATAATAAATATTAACCCACATATATATATTATATATATATATACATGTATGTATATATATATATATATATATTAGTTGCCAAGGCAACATTTCTCATTTTTAAATGTATTTTTTTCATCTAATATTTATATTTTATTTCAGTTTTATTTCAAATACTGAAAACAAATTTTAATCGTTTTAATTTTAGTTGATTAAAAAAAAAAAAAAAACACTGATGGCAAGTGAGAATATACAATAATATGGCACGTTTGCTGATCAAGGCAAATTATGTGGTTGTGGTTTTGACTGTCTGTATGAAGCCTCCGCATTTTCAAAAACAAACGAAGTTACTAAATGTTACCCTGCAAAAAAATAACCACAAAAAAATAAAAATCCCTTCTGCCCCCATTTTGTTTCATCATTTCTCATGAGTGCGAGAAATCGCCAAACAAAGACAACTGTACTATAAAAATGCCATGCGCTGGGATGAATTCAAGAGGAGAGGAGATTGATAAACAACTCCATAAGAGGTGTTTTGTTGGCAAATGCCAATGTTGACTGAGTCACTGGCCAATTGCGCACTGAATTTCTGGGATTATCACACTGATAAACCACAGACAAATAGCTGTTTGGTTTAGTTAACCAACTTCAGTAACCATTGTCTAATAGTCTTCACAGAGAAGAATGAAATCAGCATGGCCTTTTTGTGCTAATACTTAGGTATACTTTTGTATTCAGTTTCACATATAAAAAAAACCCTCCAGCTAAATCACACGATAATCTTTGCTTTGCTCGTGTGGTGCTTATTTGTGCTAGTTGAGAACTTGATGTCGTAGGGAATACAGACCAAGCATTTTAACCTTTTTGAGCTCAAAGCTATTCATTCTCCACAACAATATTTGAAGGCCCCATTACTTTTCCAGTTATTCATGATTTACTGGATATTTAAAAAAATAATAAAAAATTTCCTCCAATTTCTACAGCATAAATTTTTTTTTAAGTAAAAATGTATATTCATTATAAAAAAAAACATCCCATGATGTTTTTACAATTTTATGAATTTACATATGACATTTCCAGTTCTAGAAATTGCACTTTTAAAATTAGGCTTCCTCAGGTTTTTCAAGACTGTTTTGGCAGGGTGAATTAAAATAAGAATTATCTTGATTTTTTGTTGTTTTGGCTTATTTTAATGCTTGTTTTGCCATCTTGAGGCCCGCTCGTTGAGAGCCTTTGTCTTAATACTTACAACTTTGGGTCTTCATTTGCATGAGAACATGGGACAGATACTATAGTCATTAGTCACTCCATGTGATGTAAAATAGGTCCGGTGTGTGTGAAGCTTGCCATGCTTTCCAAAAAACATAAAAAAATAATTATAACAAATGTATTTCATAAGGACAAGCACAACATTTATCAACCGCTAAAAGGAATCGTTCAGCTAAAATGAAAATACTGTCATTATTTACTACATTTTTTGTTTTCCACATAAAATAACAGCATGTTTGTTTTAAATGACATGAGGGTGACTAAATAATGAAATAATTACTATTTTTGAGAGAACTATTGCTTTAAAGTTCACATTTAGCTTCATATATATTTTTAAAACATGTCCAAACACACAAATCAGTGTCTTGAAACGCTCCTGATATGGGGCAGGGCCTCTGACCCAGGACAGCACAGCTGGGAATTCTTTCAGATGAGTTTGGGAAAATTCCTCATGAGACGAGACTCTCAAAAAGATCTAAACAAACCCTGACAAGAGCACCACAAGACTTTTCAACCTCATTTTGGAACAAGATGATCACCAATGCAACCCAGTAGTATTTTTTGCTTTAAATGAAGTATGGTAGATAAAGAAATTTCAATGTGTTTTTCTAACTACACAACAGTCATATATCTAGTTACTGGCTTTTAGAGGTTACATGTTGTTACAGTGACCCTGGAAATGTAAGTAATGTAATAAGTACTCAGAGCACAGCAGCAGTGGTTCATAATTCTTTACATCTCTCTCAGTCATATCAGATTACTTGTTCTTCTCCAAAAACATATTTCCAATATTTGTCTTGATTTATCCATCATGCGTTTATCACCTCATCGGTTTTCTCAAGCTGTAAATCTGTCAAACGAAAAATCACATGTTGAACTTTGGGACTTTTGCGAGCATCTTTGTTCCATCCACATTTATCAACCGCTAAAAGGAATCGTTCAGCTAAAATGAAAATACTGTCATTATTTACTACATTTTTTGTTTTCCACATAAAATAACAGCATGTTTGTTTTAAATGACATGAGGGTGACTAAATAATGAAATAATTACAATGTTTGAGAGAACTATTGCTTTAAAGTTCACATTTAGCTTCATATATATTTTTAAAACATGTCCAAACACACAAATCAGTGTCTTGAAACGCTCCTGATATGGGGCAGGGCCTCTGACCCAGGACAGCACAGCTGGGAATTCTTTCAGATGAGTTTGGGAAAATTCCTCATGAGACGAGACTCTCAAAAAGATCTAAACAAACCCTGACAAGAGCACCACAAGACTTTTCAACCTCATTTTGGAACAAGATGATCACCAATGCAACCCAGTAGTATTTTTTGCTTTAAATGAAGTATGGTAGATAAAGAAATTTCAATGTGTTTTTCTAACTACACAACAGTCATATATCTAGTTACTGGCTTTTAGAGGTTACATGCTGTTACAGTGACCCTGGAAATGTAAGTAATGTAATAAGTACTCAGAGCACAGCAGCAGTGGTTCATAATTCTTTACATCTCTCTCAGTCATATCAGATTACTTGTTCTTCTCCAAAAACATATTTCCAATATTTGCCTTGATTTATCCATCATGCGTTTATCACCTCATCGGTTTTCTCAAGCTGTAAATCTGTCAAATGAAAAATCACATGTTGAATTTTGGGACTTTTGCGAGCATCTTTGTTCCATCCTCCGCACATGCCCTCACCTCAAAGGTCAAAGATCAGCCTTTCAGCGCATTACATCTCTGTGTGAGCACAGCTATAATATTGCACTTCTAGTAGACATTCCTCTTTGACATTTCATGGAAGAAGGGCTTTGGTGCGTCACCAGTGTTTTGGTTGGCTGTAGAAGGAAGAAGACATCTCCTAAAACAGATATTCAGTCAAACTGACATGCAAAGTATAATGGGTAAGGCAGTGCCAGGTACAGTTTCATAGCTTTAAAAAGATCAAATATGACATGTACACAGAAGTTTCTAAGTGATCAGACCATTTTTGGCTGGTGAACGAAAAATTCCCATTGGCTTACATTGACCCAAGTCATATCTAGAGACGGAAATATCACAAACAACTGATCTAGACTAGTATGTAACCACTTTCAGCTAGTCAGAACACCCTAGCAACCACAGCAATTCCCCAGCAACCACTCAGAGTCATGGGAAGGCACCCATTCAATGTATTTTCATTGTAAATTTAGAAAATGTGTATGTGTGTGTGTAATAATAATAATAACAATAATACAAATATAATATTAATAAGGCATAATGTCTTTAAAAAAAGAGAGAAATGTTATGTAAAAGTTAAAACACCGCTGCGTAGGCTATACAACAACAGAGTCAAGTGATTCCCGTGAGGCCACAAGCTATCATCTGTGATAATTACCACTACAGGAAGTGAAATGCATCAATACAAACTGGACCTCTATTATAAACATGAATGGACCATTGTGACTATCTAGGCATGAGTGGGTTGGTTTGTACATTTGGCCAAGACATACAGGACAGTGCCCTTGTGTGTCCTTCACCCATGCCGAGAAGAGAAGTTCAAGACTCGGCCATGGCTGAACAAGATTCCCCCATTCTGCCCACAGGGATATTGCTCCCGGCCCACTCACAGAGACAGATTTCCATTGCATCCTGTTTTCCCTTCTAAATACTTGGAAAAGAGAGCAACTACATATGCAACCACAGATGTCATAATGTCAGACTGCACATACTTTACACAAATAACTTTGTGGAAAGAAGCTATTTTGGGTTACTCATAACTGCGTGTTCTGGAATGACAAGCAGATGATAACCAACTAAGCTAAAGGAATATGCTAGAATAATTATTTCTTACTGTCAGCTCTGATAAGAAGTGATTTCTTCATGAGAAAGCTCAGTGTGTATAAACTGTCCGCAAAAGATTGAACTGCCTGTTATAATACACAAAGGAAAATAAATCCTTACAGCATCTTTAAATGTGAAGTATGCTGTTTCTGCGCATACTACTGTCACCTAGAGGAACTACACAAATAAAGCATCTTTTCAAACAAGCTTTACAAATGTCCCTTATATTCATATACCCTTATATGATAATTATTATCTTTACAGTATCTTACTATTTTATATGAGGTTTGACAGTAAAGAGCTGACATGTGCACCAAAAGACAGTAAAGCGCTAATGTGTGGCAAAAACTGGAGTTTAGCTTACCTGTCGAGAAGAAACTCCACAAGTTCAGTGTCTTGATTGAAATTCAAACATTCCATCAAATTCCTTTGTCTTGTAAAAGCACCGCCAGCATTTACCCTTGTTTTACCCCATTGTCTATCTCTGTGTATTTTGGTAAGTCTTCGGATTTTGGCTTATAACCAAATTTGGATTTCTATTCCCATGTCAGCCCGGGTCCCACACTGGGTAAACACCCTCTGGCTCAGCTTACCTCAGTAGCTACACCCAAACTCTCGCCATTGACATATCTGATCTGACCGCTCTAAATGTTTTGATCAGGGGTCTCCAAACTCGTTCCTGGAGGGCCGGTGTCCTGCAGAGTTAAGCTCCAATTTGCCTCAACACACCTGCCTGGAAGTTTCTAGTATGCCTAGTAAGACCTTAATCAGCTGGTTCAGGTGTGTTTAATAAGAGTAGGAGCTAAACTCTGCAGGACACCAGCCCTCCAGGACCGAATCTGGTGACCCCTGGTTTTGATGGTATCTGGGAGTCTCAGTGTGTTGTTTACACTTTTGGGGGAGATAGACCCATGAATGGAATATTTATAGTAGTGAATGAACAATAAACTTGGTTAAGAGTATGTATTTTGACAAAAAGTCTTTCAAACTTCACCTTTAAACTTTGGTAATCAAAGGTTAACATGTGCTACTCATTGTAATGCATTAGGGGGAGACAAATACTCACAAACTCTATACTGGGTACTATTGAGAATGTAACTCTAACACCTGGACCTTCTCATTAGAGTCTTTTTGGGAAGACCATGTGATGTCATGGTTTTATTTATTTTGTGTGTGTGGCCTTTGGGGAGGGTTGAGGGTGGGGGGTTTTGTAGTTGTGTTGATTTGTTTTGTTTCTTGTTTTCCCTCTTATCAGACATCCTGTCTCATTTTGCAACTGAGGTAATACATTTTATGTCAGGAAAAAGAAGAAAAGGAAAAAGAAAAGAAAAAAGAAAAAAAGAAATGCAAACTTTTTTTTTTAAATAAATCAAACCAACACAAACCATCATCAATAAATAGATAATCTCCATAAACATTCTACGGAAATGTCGGTGCACACAGCTGCAAATAGATGTTTCTAATCTAAGACATTAAATACTACAACATTTCCAGAGACTGAGTGTTCTTTTTTTTTTTAAAGGTTTATTTACGGCATTTTATGCCTTTATTTTGATAGGACAGTATAGGTCGACAGGAAGTGAAGTGGGTGAGAGAGAGGGGGGATGGGATCGGGAAAGAACCGTGAGCCAGGACTCGAACTCGTGACACCCGAAGCGCAATGGCGCTGTATGTCGGCGCGCTGCCCACGAGGCCATTGGCGTCGACAGCGATTGAGTGTTCAACTTAGAATGGAGATGTTAAAAAAAGCTTGCCGCATACTTAGAGCCATTCTCCTCACATACTTGAGAGTGTCTTCAGGGCTATGTGCTGAGTAACACACTCGTGAGGCCTCGTGGCCTGGGTTCAGCGCTCCTCTGCATTGCTGTCAGCCAGTTCATCTTCAGCTCTGTCAAGCAAGGGCTCTCTACGTCTGAAACAATTAGCAACTTGATGTGAGCATTCATGAGTACAACAGCCTAACCTTGACACCAGTGACACAGTTCGGCAAAAGGGAAATGTGAACAGCACTTTCTAAGAATATCATATTCTTTGATGTGTCATTACTTTAGTGAAAATTAATAGATAAGTTAAACTATTACTAAACTATTTCTATTACTTAAATTTCTGATCCCGATAAGCAAAAAAGTTAAAATGGTTACTTAAAAAACAAACAAAAACATTTTCACGATTTTTATGCAAAAGCGTTTTGTTGACTGTATTCATGCATGTAGCTCAACCACTCAACTATTCATTTTTAATTTTATTTAATTGAAATATAGGTTTATCAACATCTATAAACCAACATTTGGTCCCAAACTAGCTAGAACTTCTGCAATTGACTAGCTAGTAAATCTGCAAATTTGTCATTCGCAACACTGTTACCCATTCTGGAATAGTTTGTATTTAATATTGTAAATCTTATTTAATATAGATGTTTACATTTTAATGCTAGAAAACAACAAAAAATGACTGATCATGGTTTTAAAACGTGGCCCAAATTTCGATAAAGGGTTGTATTCGAGTCCCTTCAGTTCCTCTGTCTAGATTTTATTTATTCAAATGTTTTTTTTTGGCAAACTTTCTATTTACCACTAGAAAAAGGCCTGACCTGCAGCACACAGACATTGCCTTTAGTAACTGAATTTGTTCATACTTTTATGAACTCATAAGAGGTTTTGCACCCAATGACCCTGCAAAAACATGCACAAGAATGTTTCCCCTTGCTCTACTTATTTTTCTCTCTAGTGTAAAACACACTTTGGAATGTGATAATTTGACTTGACAGATCAAAATTGGTTTGGTTGCCAACAAGATACATGGAACCAGTTGCATAATACAGAATAATTGGGAACATAAGTTATAGCTCTATTGTCTCATCTTTATTATATCTTCCACTATCTGTGTTCAGATTATCTTTACAGCTGAATTTCTTAGCCATGGTTGATCTTATCAGCATTATTAATGAAGCATGTATTTGATAAGTGCTGACATTTCTGTACAGTATATCCTCCTGATATCCTTCTTGAAAACCATATGCATTCTGTCAAAATGAAAATGATTGATTTCCTGCTGCCATATTCATTGTCCTGTATCTGCCTGAAAACACTGAATATTTCAAATTTCATATTTTCCCCCATTTAAATTATACATTTCAATCTGCATTAACTATAAGAGCTATTCTACTGAACGCAGTGTTGTAAAGTGTTTCCTTTTGTTTCTTTCTTTTTTTAAAAATAAATGTTAGGTATTCACTTTGTAAAATCTTATCTATATGTGACAACCTCACACTTCCCGCTCACTCTTTCACATACAGCAGACATACTGTGTGTCCCTAACCAGCTGTGATGGAGCGCTCCTCTTCCTGAGGGATTTATCTATAGCGCCGGATGTTTGGGAGCTTTCGAATCGTGAAAATCTTCCTCTTCCTCTCATGGTTCAACATGGGAAGGACTCAAGGTCAGGGAACGTACTCTTGCACAACCCTAAAAAGTATGTATTTATTTATGAAATAAGGACTTTTATTTTTATTATCCGTTATTTTGAGTGACTTGTAAAAAAGGTTTCATTCAAAGGTATTCTTTTCTTTTTTTTTAATCACATCATGCATATCAATGTCACAATCATATTTACTTATTTATGAAAGAAGGACTTTCATTTAATTGTATTTTTATTTTCTGATATCTATCTCTGTTTTATGAAATAAGGGCTTTTATTTTATTTTTTATTGTTGTTTATTTTAAATGACTCATAAACAAAGATTTCAGTCAGAGGTATTATTTTCTCTTTTTTTACCACATTGCATGCATATCAGTGGTACAATAGACTTCCTTCTGATTTGATTTGACATACATTTCCATTTTAAGTTGTTTAGCACAAGTAGGGCAAACATTCTTTTAAGTATTTATTCAACAAAAGTCTCAGTGTAAGAATTTCTGCTGTGGAAAGATGTAGGTCTTGATTTGGTAATTCCATAAACCCTTAATTTCTTCATTTTGACCGATTCATTTGTGGTGTTTCTTGAGTGTTTCAGGTCATTGTCTTGTTACTGCTTTGTCCACTTGTGGTTCAGCCTCAGCCTTTGGACAGATGGTCTCACATTCCCCTCAACTACTTTCTGGTTTTGTGTAATTCATGGTTGACTCAGTGACGACAGTCTGGCCAGACCCTGAGGCTCAACAGCAGCCCAAAACCATAATGCTTCCACCACCAAGCTTTACAGATGGTCCGAGGTGCTGCTGGCCAAAGGCAATCCTTGTTATTTGCCAAACATGTCAGGCTTTGGTGCCAGTCAGCTCTAACTTGGTCTCATCTGTCCACAACACACTGTTCCAACACTACTTAGATGTTGTTTGGCAAACATGCCTGATAAATCTGCAGTATAAATCCTGTAGCCTCATAGGTTTCCTGATCACTTCCAGCAAATGTTATTGATCCGCTCGTTTGGTGAAATCATTTGACCTGATAGATAGCCAGTGGTTTGAAATGTTCCCAAATAGACAATATTTAAATCAATCAGTAATAACAAATTGACAATGTTGAAAACGTTTAAAGATATATATATATATGTATATATATATATATATATAAAAGGACACAATAATTTGATCAAAAGTATGACAAAAATGTTACAAAGAGGTTTCAAATTTCTTTTGAACTTTGTTCATTAAATAACTGAAAAAAGCTTGCCACAAAAAATTGGATTATAAAAAGAAATATGTCTTGAGCATCAAATTTGCATATTAGAATGATGCCTGAAGGATCATGTAACACTAAAGTAAAAATTCAGCATTGCCATCACAGGAATAACATTTTAAAATATATTAAAACAGAAAACAGTTATTTTAAATTGTAATAATATTACATAATATTACAGTTTTTATTGAATTTTTTTATCAATTAATGCAGTCTGGTATGCATAAGAGACTTTTCAAAAACATTAAAACAATTTTAACTGTAGTGTATGTAATTTTCAGTATTGCGATTTGAACAATAAATAGTTTTAAAAATAAAGAAAAACTGCAAACTTTTTATATCTTAAACATACTTTTTCCACACCCCTGTAGCTTGTCCTTAAGTAAGCATGTTCCATCAGTTGGACAGAATATTCCGTGACCGGTAGTGAGGAAAAGTCAGGTGTTCCCTGCTTATCATATCCTGCTGTCAAGAAAATGACCAGATGAGAATCCACCCTGTGCTTGCGTTTCCTAGGACATACAGTACATGATGCAACAAACAGGAAGTCATCACTCATGCTGACCGCCCTGTTAATGCAGGACAAAAATCTGCTGAAAACATTATGTACGGTCTCCTTTGGGACTGCCAGTTTTTAAGATGATTACCAATATGTTTTTTCATTCTGTACATCAATCTGACCTGTCTTTCACATTTCTAGACACAGACAGGTTTGGAATGGGGAAATTAAGGGAATATTATTACTTGTATAATGTAATTTTGTTTTGTGAATTAACATTGTGAACTGCCATAATGAATAATTGCATGAAAATTGCACTGTTTAAAAGTCAAAATAATAATAATAATAATAATAATAATAAATATGTATAAAACAAAAAAATCACCAACCAAGAATCCAGAAGCTTTTTTTTTTTTTTGAAGTAAGTAAAAAGAGCAGAGTAAAAATAGTATTTTAATCTGGAATAAATTAAGTCAAGACGTAACAACAAGACTCAAACAGAAAACCCGAATACAAAGGACTTTTAAATGAGTTAGATC